TGGAGTTCTGTAATTCAGCATTTATTAACCGGTAAACTAGAAGTGACTGCGAAAGTGCATCTTGTATACTTTGCCGGTCCCTCTCAGTTCCGTATAGAGCTTCTGGGTATTTCGCTGCACTAGTTACCTGACACAGCGCATTATCCTCTGTTTTATCCTCGAACAGTACTGGTTGACGGATTCACAATATTGTATTACTTCTCCCATCTATCTGTATCACCCCGGACAAGCGGAAGACGGTAATTCACAATAGGTTCTGTATAACTGTACAATTTCTCTGTGCTGAATTCCCATTCTCTAACAGATTAGCGGAACATGATCTGTTCAGATGTTTCTTCCCGTGCGTTCCGAAAACAAAAGAGCGGTAATTATTTGTAAATCACGACACCGGGTTGTGCAAATGGGTAAACTTAATGGCAGATTAAATCTGAAAACCATTTATTAGGGCATATAAGCTCCGTGGATCTCTTTTTAACGTAAATCTTATTTCGGTTTGATCACTCGCTTGTCAAACTGGCTATGTATATGAATATCAGTGCGGTTCTGTAAGAACTAACTAACTAACATTTAGTACACGTAAACAGGAGATTGGCATAAATCGATAGTGAAAGGGGGTAAGTACTCACATCCAGATTTCCTTAGTCCGCTTAAATAAACAATGTAATACGATCCAGAGAGGTCGTACGTAATAGTCCGGTGTGTGATCGATTGTGTGTTGCATCCTGGTCACCCAAACTGATGGGCGAATGTCGCAAAGTCAAGTACATTGCTTGGTATGAATGGGTCAGAGTGGTGAGGTGACAGGCGTGGTTCGTGCGTGCAGGGTCATATGACTGGTTGCCTTGTCCTAGTGCGTGTTAGTGTCACATAATTGGTTAGCATTGTCACGGTTTGCATGCGTGCGTGCATATTGTGTCACATGACTGATTCAACGAGTGTGAACACATGTGTAGGTGGGATGGGCAGATGTGGCGGGGGCTCGGGGGTATGATACCACTTGATCGGGAAGCATGTCGGCCGTTGTCTGATGATTCACCAGGATCACATCGTAAATCTTTGAGTTTACAGTGCACGGCAGCTCTCTCTGTTCTGTATGTAGTGCATCATGTACGCATTTATTTTCACGATTAGATGATGCTAATAAATCAACTTACAACTTTTCATTTTCCATTCATTGCTTCCATCTCAGAGTGGCCAAGCACGAACTGCGTAACGGATTTGCCTTGGTTCGTCCCCCAGGACATCACGCTGAACCGGGATTGGCCATGGGCTTCTGTTACTTCAACTCAGTGGCGGTGGCCGCTTTGCATTTGCTGCGCAATCGATTGGTCTCTAGACTCCTGATTTTGGACTGGGACATTCATCATGGGAATGGAACCAAACTGGCCACATTGCATCCAGGTCTCGTGTATATAAGTTTGCATCGTCACGACGTCGGCACTTTTTTCCCAGGCACTGGTGCTGTGAACGATAGTCTGACCGGGACGGCTTGTCAACAGCCCCGATCGACCGAAGGAAGTGGCTCATCTCACACAGCTCCATCACAGCTGATTAATATCGCCTGGGGCGTGCCTGTGTCCAATGCAACCAGCAGGGCTGCAACCAATCCCAGTGAAAGAGACAATCGGGTCGGCTTCAATCCAGATGGCAAATCAACCCCGTGCGCGACTTCGGAAACTACTTTCACACCGAAACAGTTCGATATGGCTGGAAAAGATGCGGGTGATCGTCGCCAAATGTGGCGACAGGTGAGATAGTTTTGCATATCCTTTTTTTTATATTTCTCACATTCGTGATAATGGAGTGACTGTGACATGATAACGTGTGCCTGATGAAAAGGCTCGATCTAACTGATGCCGATAAGTAGTATCGTATCCACCCTGGCAACCAATGCACATTATGGTTTTATTGATAACAGTTTTTCGCGCATATGGCGGAAAACGTAAATCAGTATCAACTACACCTTTTCCCATCAAGCTTTAGCCAAAACCCGTAATCCTTTAGCCTTGACCTACATTCCTTTAGCCAAAACCCGCAATGCTTTAGCCACGACCGGCAGTCCTTTAGCCTCGACGTACAACCTTTGATCACNNNNCACACCGCTGTAGGCGAGTCAGAACAAAAACTATCGGAATATTCTGAGGTCAACGAATGTTGAAAAAATTTATATTTATTTTTAATTTTTATTTTATTTGAACGGGGTTCAAATCGTGAATTGCCACAGACTTCTCAAACTATGACGTAATTCATGCTTCAATCAACAACCACAATCCTCTAACCTTGACCAGCATTCTTTTAGCCACAAACCCGCAATTCTTTGGATACGACTCCTCTCCCCTAGTCCTGTTTTTTAACCTTTCACTTAACAGTCGCACAAGCTTTAATGACTGTTTCGCATTCACATGTGAACTTTGT